ATATAGTACTTGACATTGAAAACGCTCCAAAAATGTGTCTTTCTCCAGTCTTTTCCTGTCCCTGTTAGTCTTTTTATATAATGAGTACGAGCCTCTAAATCTACACTAAAACTTTCTTACTATTTTTAAAATAAAAATATAAAACAGTATTTAACAAGACAGAAATATATCCATTTCCTTCCCAGTTCTTGCTATAATATCTCCAAGACCAAGTCAGACCAAAAACAGAAACTTTTGAGTGTCAAATGCTGCTGTTTGGCTCATGTCTTGTGTCAGGCTAATTTGAAGGTGAGGAGGGGGCCTGTTGTCATCTCCCAGCAGCTCACTGATCTGCGAGGAAACTGAGCATCATCTAAGATAGTCTTGATGTCAAAGGTCACAAACAGAAGTCCCCAGGGATTAAGTAGTTCAATGGCGAGGATGAGGACACTGGTTTCCCCATGGTCTGAGTCCAGTTCTGCCACCATTCTGTGCTGTTCTCTTAGCTCGTCTCTCCCAGGGTAAGTTAGGGGTGTTCACAGGCACACTTCTGGGCTCTGAAATGCAGGCTTCCTAAGAGTGTGGTTTTAACACCGTTCCTCCTGTCACTCATCAATGGCGCCTTCCATTTCTTTTTCGCAAGGTGGAAGAAATACTTTCTTCTCTTTTTTCTCTTTCTTCCCTCTAAATTGTTAGGGATGTTCAGGGCCTACTGTGAGTACCATTCTTCAGTCTGTTATTGAAAAATAAGGCAAATGGGAGCTGAGGGGAGCATCTGATAGACCGGGCTGGAGGAAGTTAGAAGCAGGCCTGATGACCCTCCTCCTGCCAACCCAGAACACCCACCATCAGCCCAGCAAAGGAGAAAGTCAGTGCTGAGTCTGCAGGGCTCTCCCATGAGAAGGAAAAGAGATCGAAGCTCCTCCTGGGAGAAAAGCAGGAACCAGTGGCTGTGTCTGTGGGTCCAGTAAGAAACTGGGCGGAAATCATGTGCACTTATGGAAAATTCCTCCTGCCAAGAACCAAAGATGCAAGGAAGGCATTACCCTCAAACTGTTATATTTTTTTTCATTGAACTTAATGAGGAGCCAGCATTTTTTTTTTTTAGAAATAAACATTAGCATCTTTATGGGATAAAACAAGTTAATGGTCATTAAACCCTACTTATACCATGCCAGATTCCCTTAAGGATGCTGCCAGCCCACATGCGTGGTTCTTTTCAGTGTCACTGTAACTGACGTGTGCATATTGTTCTAATTCCCAATGTTACGCTTGACATTGCTGCAAACACATTTTCCTGTATCAGCATCACCCACACGGACATTTCATTTGCATTTTTCTCCTTCCCAGCAAGGTTATGCGTTTGCAAGTGGCACCTGGGATTCAGTTTTATTTACCTGTACAAATACGCTTTCTTCTTGGAATAGTTTGTTCTTTTATAAGCTATGTTTACCTCATATTTTTCCATTGCGTTGCTTTTGTCTTCTTTTTGGTATACACCATTCCATTTTGCAAATTAAAAATCAGAAAGTTTTATGAGTAAATCAAAACTATTCATAGGACTTCCCTCTACACAGCCTGAACAAATAAATATATATTTATTTCTGCTATCTTTTTTCTTATTTTTATTTGTTCTAGTTTTTCAGTTTTAATTTTCATTTTTTACCCATATGAAATGTATATATAGTTCAGCATATAGATATAAAGTAATTCTTCATACCTATAATAAGCTGTTATTTAATGAGAGTCCTTACCCCACTAGAAATACTTTTTAAATGTGGATTTTTATATAAATTATAGTTCATTGCCTAAAAAGTCAGATTCAGTGGTGATCTTAACTTTATTAAAGTACTTTTGATTTTAAGAATTAGAATTGACAATTTTTTATCTTAGGTCCCCTAAGAGCCATAAACTCTACACCTTCTCAAAACAAAATGTCCATTTTTCACGTAAATTTTTTCAAAGTAGGAACTGATGTTATCTAAGGGTCCATGATAACTTGCATGAATTTCTGTCACCCATCCTGTATGGTGACATTCATCTATAAATAACAACTTCAGTTAACTTTGAGCTTTGAGGAAATTTAGTTGGCCAGAAGTTAATGTCAATCACCCTAAAACAGGGAATCTACCTGTATTACTCAGCTTCTTGTTACTGTAACAAAATAGCTCAGATAATTTATGAAGAGAAAAGAGTATTTTGGTTCATGGTTTTGGAAGTTCTAGTCTAAACTAAATGAGGAAGTGTCGGGTGGCAGTGGAGAGAACTTGAGGTGGAGCAAACTGCTTACTTTATAAGGCAGGAAGCAAACAAGAAAAAGAGACCAGGACCTGTGGTCCTCTTTGAGGACACGCCCTGATAACCTGAGGACCTCCCACTAGGCCTCACCTTTTAAAGGACCACAGCACTTCCTGAAAGTCCCTCTCTGAGAAAGAAGCTTTCGGTGGCCATCCAACACCCAAACCATAGTCAGCTCTGATATAAAACATGTGACAATATCAAAACAACAGGTGACTGAAATTTTAAAACCAGGTACTTGGAGTATAGTCACAACTATGATTTCCAGTAGACATAGTACAGTTAGTGAGAAAAGCAAAAAATTTAAAAATGGGTCTTCTGAGCTAAGACTCAGGATCAGATCACATAAATTGTACTTTTAGATCACTGGAAAATTCCATGCAGGACAAGCTCCTCCTCAATAAGCCGTCTTCAAGTACCCTAAGCACACATTTGCTATTTCCTTTAATTCCTTTGTTACTTTATTCCTCAGAGCTTGACTTCTTCTCACCTTGACTTTTCCCAACTGTCATACTCAAATTTGATTTGTTGCAATTTATCCTGGAGGGAGAGAATGCTAATTGCAGGGGGGGAAAGGTTCTACACAGAAAGATGGTCTCTCCAGCTTTGTTTTCATGATAGCATAAAACATTAGAAGTTATTTTTTGAGTAGCCATAAGGAAGTAGCTGAGTAAACATCTCTATAGTTGAAATAATCATTAAGATGGTGATCATGCAAATTTTACTTGTATAAAAAAGTAAGAAACACAATTTGATAACACAGTACTGCTACAACCATAGGTAGGAGGGCAATATGATTAGTGTCTTATTTCTCCTTCTCCCATGTTTTCAGGTTTTGCTTTTTGGAACTGTGCCTTTAGCAGATAGGACAGTAGAATTCCCAAGGTTAATTTCTCCCCAAAATGGTTTGGGGTTGTGTGACCTAGCAAAGGTTTGTTTTGTTTTGTTTTAATTTTTCTCCATGGGGAATTGCTTTTTTTGAGAGTGAATACCTCCAAAGAGGAATGAGCAACGTCACTTCTCAGTTCCTAACAAAGCCCTCTACCTTGAGAATCTGAGGGTCAACAGAAATCCATCTGCGGTGGCATCTCATCCCAAAGTCGCTTCTGTGGCTCGGCAACAGTTAAAGTGGACACTAAGCACGCAATTATGTCTTTCCCCAATGCAACAGAACCTGACTGCAGTGCCCTCAGGTTGACTTATCTAAGACTTTGAATATCCTAGGATCATTAAAAATCCAAGTGGTCTCCTAGAGATGCATTGAACTGAGTGGCAGCTGTGTGATTGTCCCACCAACTGGGAACTTTAAGCATAGCCACTTCCCATGGCGTCAGCTTGGACGTCCTAAATAAACCATAGATGGAGGAATGGAGATGGTTCCTGAGCGATGCATTAATGCACCACAGCCCTTGCTATGCTGGAGTCCCAGCTCAGTTGTGGGGTTCCCATGGCACTGACTTCAGCATATGCATTGCTCTTGTGTTCCTATTCATGAGTAGTAATCAGATTGTTAACTTCATTTAGAATAACCTCTACTACCATATTGGGCATTTTTTAAAGAACTGAATAAGAAGAAAAAAATCAACTAGTCTATAAATGCCAGCGCTTTCTAGGGTCTATGTCACAAGAATTGTTTTGAGTATGCAATAATTTTTTAATATTTGCAGAAGATTTAGGTCTATCACCTTCTGTCCTTCTTGTAGATTACTCTGTTGAACATTTCACTGGGCCAGTTCTGAAGGGGTAGACTGGAGGATTCCTGTGCCACTGTATATCAATGCTATATGAAAATAGAACTTTGGTAGGAACAAGTGAAAGAAAAAGCTTAACCCTGGAGTTACTGTACTGTTTCATTTCTACCCTAAGTCATCTTTCTTCCTGTGTTAAATCAGGTAATTGCTTTGCTGGCTTCCAAGTTTCTGAGTACCGCAGACTTTATCTTTCATCTGAGTGTTTATTCATCTGACTGGAATAGCTTTCAGTCAGCTTTAAAAATTAATTTGACTTTAATGTCTAGTTATCTAAGACTCCCCTAGGCTAAGATGAAATCACAGTGGGGAAATTTTGATCTAACAAATGGCCATTGTACGGGAGCCTTTGATCCTCCACCGTGGTGTCAACCAGCCGCCCCTTGAGCAGCTGAGCTGTAAGAAGATCAAAGTGGGTGTGATGGGTGGTCTGCTCTGGAAGAGTTCTGGCACTTCCAGTGGGGCTGCTGCAGCCTGATAGAGATCGATCAGAGAGTCTGAAAATGTTCAGCCTCTTAGAGGGACTGGTAATCAGAAACCAGGATGAGTAATTTTCCTGGGACCTTTGGTACCTTGCCCTTGGTCAGTGACATAAATTCCTTTTCTCCTGAAAGTGGGAATTCTCAATCCTTGTTTTCCCATGTCTGAGACCTACTGAGTTTTTCTAACTTTTTAAAAATTCGAATAAAAAATTAATTTCAATTCACTTTCCTTTTAAAAAACAAATAGAACACAGGATGAAATATGATAAGAAACATGGAAAACAAGCAGGTTGCTGAGGATCATTGAACAGTGTTGCCCTGATGGATAGACAACCTGTCTCTGAAATCTTAAAAGTAAGAGAACAGATGTCAGCTTTGGATACTGACCCTGATAAAGCTGACTTGAGTCACCTAGACTCAGTCTCACTAAGCCTTGCCCCCCTCCCTGGAAGGCAGACACGGTCTCACACGGCCATCACCTTCTCTCTGACAGATGGGGAGCTGTCCATATCAAATGAAGATGACTCCCTGGAAAACGGGCAGTCCCTAAGTTCCAGCCAGCTGTCTCTGCCTGCACTGTCCGAAATGGAGCCAGTCCCGATGCCCAGGGATCCCTGCTCGTACGAGGTGCTCCAAGCTTCAGACATCATGGATGGACCAGGTAATGCCACTGGCGGGGTCAACAGGCAGGACCCCGGAATGTCACTGTGGGGCCCTCTGCCTAGCTGGACTTAAGGTTCTATTTTGGATCATTCTCAGTAGAAGGATCTGGAATGGATGAAACTGACCTATTAGTTCTTCATACTTATTAGGATAAGAAAAATGGGGATATTTACACACATCTTTCTACGGTTGTTAAAAATTCTTTTGTATGACTCTCATCTCCTTAAAGGATTTATAGCTTGTTTTGTCACATTAAAAGAAAATCTCTTTTCTTTTCTAACATGCATCTCTATTACAGTAGAACCAAGACTCCTATGTTCTGTATGGTATCTAATTTGCCTGATCAAAAGATCTGACCATGCTCTTTAATTTCTAGTTCTCAGTTTACCAATTAATACTTGTATCAGTTTATTGGATACAGTCAGTCAGTTAATTTAATTATTGACTAAGTTGTGTACAGTTTTCTGACAAAAGATAATGGTCAGTTGATACCATCATACCATTGCCTCTTTGGTCCAGAATCACCTGAGTGACCATCTCAGGAGATTTTCAGAGTGGTCTAATAAACCCAAAGATAAGTCTTTCCCAACACATAGTAACTATGTGTCATCCCAAGATAGATTGTCAAGGAGGAAGCTCTTGGAATACCTGAAGTATAGGCAGAAAAGCGATGTCCTTTCTGCGTGCCAGGTGCAGAACTTATGTGCACAGATGCCTCACAAAGGATGACCCTTAAGACAGGAAGGATTCTATGCTCCTGGAGATTCTTTGCAGGCTTTACTGCTGTGCAGAACACTGGTCCCCAGGTCAGGGAGGAAGGAAGGCACTGTACAGTGTAAGCTTTCTCACTGAGTTATGGAAATGATGCAAACGATGCAAACCTGAGGCCGTGAGCTTCTTTGCCTTGTTGGGTGTCAAGGGAGCTAGCAGGGTTAGGGTATTCCCCATGTTAGGGTCCTTCTGAGAGGCTGCCACTCAGCACTGACTCCAGGACCTGGGTGAGCCAGCTGTTCAGTGCCAACCTCCCAGAGCACTTGCTGTCCCAACCCAGAGAGCAGGGACAAAGCAAGCCCCCGGGACAACACAGAGACCTTCACCCGTTTGAATCCACCTTGTCTTCATCCCCAGCAAAAAGCACCCTAGCAGTGAGCCCAGCACTGGGTTCTTGTGGCGGAGCCCAGAGGACTCTTCATGCTTGACCCAATGCCCCTGCCATCCTGTTGACCTTTTCTGTGGTCCCATGAGTCACACCATGAAGCGTCCATACACTTTGTCTGATAAGCACAGAGTTTGAAATGATGTTTTTGATGAGAAAATGTCCTTCCTCCTCCTTTCTCTGCTTTCTCCTCCCCCTTCTGTCATCTTTCTTCCTCTGCCTTCTCTCTGTCCCTTTACCGTGCCTCCTGCTCGACTGGACTTCCAATGTGCCTGCATTAGTGTGGCAGCCTGAGGCGGTCGGTGCTTGCTGTCTGGCCAGCCCACCTGCATCTCTGTCCTGTGTCCCTGGCTGGCCCCACCTGCACTGCGTGTGTGTAATGTCTCCTGTGTATCATGTGGTTGTCCCCTCAGTGTCTGAAGAGAGTCCCTCTGCCAGTGAATCTGGAGTCCTCCTGTCCCAAGATCCTTCAGCCAAACCAGTCCTGCTACTGCCCCCCAAAAAACCTGCTGCTTTCTCTGGAGACCATGAGGAGACCCCAGTGAAGCAGCTGTCCCTTCTCAAGCAGCCCCCGGCCCTGCCTCCCAAACCCACTGCCCGGATTGCCAACCACTTAACAGGTGAGTGGACATGTCTTCCGGGGTGTGCAGCCCTCCTTCCCTTCAAGGGATCCTTTCTTTCTCTGTCATTCTTGTGACCTGGGCCCTGAGTACACATCTCTGGGGAGGTTGCCCCCCGGGGTGTTTGGGCATTTCTGTGTCTCAGTAGATACGTTCCTGGCTGTAGGCCAAAAGCTTCCTGTCATGTGTATCTGTAACATGTATCTTGTATTTATGTGACTACTTCAAGATTATTTGCCTCCCTGGGCAGAATAGATTTGACATCAAAATGTTTGCAAAGATAAAGAATTGTGCTTTGTTTCCTTCATACTAAGTTTGTCAAGGCTTTATATGTTTTGTCTTTAAGTTACTATCTAAAATCCAGTACATTTTTCCTATTACAATTCATTTCATTGATGTCTGGTCTCTTAAAAAAAGAAAAAAGTAAGCAAAAATGCTAATCTGCAGAATACACGGGAAATATTTTTAGTGGGAGAATAAGTTCAGCAATGTTATCCTAAAATGATTTTGACATTTTCATTTCTGAAGTGTTGCTGAATGTACCCATACTTATGAAGTTGGGAAACCACTGAAATTGTATTTCACTGCACATTTGCACATGAATCAAATGCCACTATGTGACTTAAGGCGATGATATAATCAAAGATTTTAAGTTGGGAAACAACCCTGATAATAGTCCTAGCTGATGCTAATCAACTGCCTCATTTTGTTAGATTTGCTATTTTTACAAATACCATGTAATTGAAGCTCTGTAAAGTTTTGTAACCTGTAATTGGATGGAGATAGGGAAGAATCATCACCTATCCTGAGGTAGAAAAACTAAAATTCAATAAAAATAAATGCCTTCTCAGGACTAATGGGAACTCTGCAATAGAAGCCTACGGGAGCTGGTTTCCCACCTCCTGGCACAGGGATGTGTTCCCATGGCAGCAGGATGCATCTCTCATGGCGCTTTTGTTAGAGTCCAACTTTGATGTAGGCTCACATTGAACTACCATGCTGATAAACAGGCATCCACTCCAGGTGGACATTTGTGATTTAAAGGAGCAAATGTCTGTGTAAAGGAACCATTCCACACATTAGTAACAGCATCCAGAAATTTAAATTCACAAAAAATTAACAAAGGAGAAATAGCCCCATCGGCGTCCTTCTAAGGGTCATGCACTGTCTGTCTGTCCCTCTAATAAAAACAGAATACTGCTCTCACCATCTGCATGTTGCGCTTAGTGACTTGTTATGGAATGGTTCTCGTTTTAGTAAAAACTCTACATGGTTTTCTTAGCTACATGGTATAGATGAAGACTGGTTTGGCCCCTCACAACTTTTCTATCCTTTCTCTCATGAAACCCACAACAGCAAACATCCTCTACAGCTGGCATCTCTCCATATTAGCATCTTTGATTTTTCTCTGATTTACTTCCATAATTAGAAATGCTGAATGAAAGCTTATGTGCCTTTTCAGACTTTGACATTGAGCTCCTTTATGAATGACTAGTCAACCTGTACATGTATGGTCCCAATTTATTCAGCGAGCCTACGGAAGACAGAATATCAAGCTAGGTGTCAAGGTGGATGTGGCTTAATGAACACACACACACAGTCAGCCTCTGTATCCATGAGTTCCACATCTCTAGTGCAGCCAACCAGAGTTCACAAATATTTGGGAAGAAAAAACTCACATCTGCCCTGAATGCACAGACCTTACTTTCTTCTTTATACCCTAAACACAGTATAACAAACTATTCACATTTCCATTGTACTAGGGATTATACATAATCTAGAGATGATTTTTAGTACATGGGAGGACTCCTGTAGGTTCTATGCAAATACAACCATATGGTAAGAAAAGTATCATTTGGAGTAATCCTTGGGGTCAGTCCAGGTTTGTAAGGAGGTTGCTGAGAAGTCTGAAGCTTGAGTTGACTTTAAAGTGTGAAGGGCGTGATAGAGAATGGGAGAAAGAATTCCAGGAAAGAAGCTGCTGTACTAAGGCTCAAAGGCAGGGTTTGGGGTTAGCTCAGACAGGGGCTTCACTTTGGATATACCGAGAAACAGGAGTCACGAGGTAAAGGCATACAGAGATACAGATTTATTCCCTGGCCATTGGGAAAGGCTTTGGAGATTCTTTAGAATGGAACACTACAATATGATAGGAAAATGCATCCCTAGATAACTGTGTAGAATGAGCAGAGAGAAGCATTGAAAGGCTCTCACCACTAAGGCCAAGTCTGAGTTGCATACCCCAAATCACTAATAAACAGAAGGACCTGAGCCAGAGAGACTACTCCAGTCCTTGCAACACGGGCTCAAGAAAATCATCCGCTAGTAATAGAAAGAGAGAAAGAGCAAACCAGTAGAGAAGGTGTTTTAAAAGAAAAGCTACAGAATCTGTTATCTCACAGTACTCTGATGTATCTCGTTATCTAATGTGTGAGACAATGGAGCTTCAACTGTGAGCCCTGGACCTTTAGTGGTGTAGGACCCATGGGACCGTCTCTCTCTGAAGGACTGAATATGTCTAACCTGGCCTGGTCTCTCTGGCTTCTTAGTCCCCTTCCAATGAATGAACTTATTATCTATGCACTACACTTTCATAAGCTTAAAATTAAATGCACAAAAATACATTATATCCTTGCTCTTCTTGCCAGTCTCTTAAACATTTAGGATGAGACCAGTTAGAGATGCCTAGAAACTGTGTATCTGTTGTTGGCCTTTTGGATCCGAACTCAATTAGACTCGCTTAATTTTTATAAGAGAATAATCAGTCATAATAAATCCGTACCACCATGAGGCAGCCCCATTAACCCCGTTGTTACTAATTACTCTAGAGACACCTGGGCCACGTCGGAAAGAATTAATAAACTAGGAATTCCAGAGCTCTAAACGGATATTTATGATATATTCTCAGTGTCTGTTGTTCTGTTGTTTGAAAGAAAACACAAGGACCATAGAAAGGCACCAAGCATGCTTCAAAGAACATGGATTATGGTTAATGGTTTAGCAGAATGCTGGAAAAATAAACAGGAGCCTGAACTGGTGTCCTTTCTGAGTTCATCAGGCAGAATTATCTCGACTTCAGCATTTGCTTCTAGTTTACAAGGAAAGCCACAATTGCTTGGGGAATATTTGTCTTACACATTTTCTCTGTTTTTCAACCAGAAAGAGAGATACTTCCTTGCTCTCTCACACTTTCTTCTTCTCTTGTTGACATCTTCTTCGCTCTCTTCTACTCCGTCCTCAGCCTGTGCAGTGGCCTGTGACAGGGACTCAGAAGTTGGAGGCAGAAGGTCCTGCCCTCCCGCAAGTGTAGCTCCAGCAGAGCTTGTCATGATTTGAATGTGGTACAAGATGAATGTGCCTCAGAATGAATTCTTACCAAGATGACGGATGACCCCAGCAGACAAGTGACTGCTACAAAACCCTGGTTTCTTGCCTTTCTAAATCCCCATCAGTCACTCCTCTGGGCGTCCTGGTCCCAGAGTCATGTGTTAAGCACTGCATGAATAACCTGTGCCTTGTACATGAGCGACCCCAGAGGACATACACAACAGTTCATTCAGCTCCCATGCTGACCGGACTTCGCGGTGTGACAGTCACCGTATTTTAGTGTAGTGGGTATTTTAGCTGGTGGTAGTAACAGCAGCTAGCATTTGATGACTTCATGGGTACCAGTGAGTCCTACCAAATGGAGGCCATTGTCATTCTTACCTCCTTTTCACAGAAGATAAAAATAAAATTTGGAGAAGTTAAATAATTTCAACATGGTTACAAAGCAGTAAGTGGCGGAGACAGGCTCGAGCCCATTTTGGCTGACTTCAGATCCTCACCTCTTACCATAAGTTTATGCCAAGATGCCTGTTTTCAACTTTTTTTAATTTTCAGTTTTGTTTCTTAACTTTGTATATTTTCATCCAAATAAGAAACTAGAAAACTTGCTGATTTATTTTTATAACATATTAATCTGCTTAGGTTGCCATACAAAATAACATAGACTGGGTGATTCATGTAAGTTTATTTTCTGTCAGTTCTGGAGGCAGAAATCCAAGTTCAGGGCCTGGTAAATTTTGTTTTCTAGTGAGAGCTCTCACTCTGGATGAGAGGAGAGAGAGACAGACAGACAGAGAGAGACAGAGAGATAGGTCTCGGTATCTCTTCTTAAAAAGGCACTAATTCTATAAAATAGGGCCCTATCCTTATAACCTCACATAAATTTAATTACCCCCTTATTGTACGTACCATCAGCTATGTCACCTAATGTTAGCACTTCAACATAGGATTGGGATGTGGGGGACCTCAATCCATATCATAATTCAAGGACCAACAGTATCTAGTCTTTCAAAAATAAGTAATGTTCTTAAGGCTCTTGGTTATTTAGAGTAAGACCCGAGTCCAGTTGGATCAGGTTTCAAGGAGCAGATGAGAAGGAGGTGACCCACGAGAACCAAAAGTGAGTCACGTGGGAAGTGTCTGACCATGATTAGAGACTGTCAGTTCCGCAGAGAAAGAAAATCATTGCCACTCCTTAAAAACAAGTCCCACTGGTGCAGTGAACCTTCCCAAGGCTTAGCTGAACATTTAGAGCCCTAAAATAGTAGGAAACTTACTACCCTTGGGTCTCTATTTGCAGATTGAACCAGCCAGTTTGGAAATATTCAGGAAAAGAAACAATAAAAAACAACGAAACAATTAAAAATAATGTAATTTTAAGTGTTATATTAGAAATTATTTTACTTACAGAGCAATTACCCTGGATCCAGTATTATCTGTAACCTAGAGACGATTTAATGTGTACATCAAGGTTGTGCAGTTTCGGTGCAAATATTAGCTGCATCCAATGACACCCGAGCACCTGCTGATTTGATATCCGCAAGGGCTCCAGGAACCAATCCCCTCAGGTACCGAAGGACGACTGTATCCTCAAAACTTGGCTGATTGCAAATTTCAACATTAACAAAGTACTTTGCAACTTCAATTTTACCTGACAAATGTCATCTGTACCC